AAATCAATAAAGATATATTTTTTTAAAAAAAATTAAAAAAAAAAAAAAAAGATGTCTTCTCTAAGTTGCCTCATTTATGCATGTTTTTCTGTAACCAGCTTTTCTCATTTGAAAATATGTTTTGGAGTTCTTTCATATATCCATATCAAGCTATCCCTTTCTTTTCTAAATCAATCATTCCTTTCATATACATTCAGGTTTCTTTCAATTTCTCCTTACAATGAAGCATATATTCTTTGTATTTATGAATGATTATGTCCCTTGATTAAATACTCGGAAAAAATTTGCTGAGTCAAAAGGTATGCACATTTAAAATTTTGATAGATACTGGTACTCTCAAAACATAAACGAAACCAGTTTGTACTCTACCATAATGTATGAGAGTACCATTTCCTACTAGTGTCAATAGTGGGTAGTGTCAGTATTTTTAATATTTGGTACTAACATGGGCAAAAAGAAGTTATTCGCTTATAGTTTGTGTAAGTATAAATATTTGAGTACCAATAACCAGAGAATGCTAGAAAACTAAACAAGAGAAATGTGTCATTTGCTTTCAGGTCAGTGCTGACAGTTGCTTGTGAACAGACTGAAGTTCTGCTTTTTGACCCTATATCATCAAAGCACATAAAAACACTTTCTGAAGCTCATGAAGACTGTGTAAATAATATCAGGTTAGTATTATAGTGAAAAAGTGAATTTTATTAGTGTGACCCAAAACACTGTGTTTGGAAATTCGTGAAAATGTGTAATGCCCTGTCCAGCAGTGCTAGAGATACACATTTGTGAATTGTAAATCTTACCCCTTGTGAAACTTGTCCCTTTAATTCCAAAACTTACTCTTAACTATTTTGGATCAGAATCTTAATGAAATGCATTTTTCACTTCCACATGATTTTCTTTTTCTCTTCATATATTAGGATTATCATTATCAACCTCAGCCAGTATTATAATAGTCCTATAATGCCTTTAGGCTAATGATCCATGTAGAATTAGGGCAGTCCTGTTACTTAGCATGTCTCACCACCACCCCTAAAATTCAAACTATTGGGGGAAAAAGCACATATGCACAGAGAACTTCTTAATAGCATTGTTGGAAGCTTCTTAAATTCTCAGTAATGTGGGAAGCAGATAACAGTTGAACAGCTTGGTGGATTAATATGCAGTCATTAAAATGATGGTCACAAAGACTACATATTAACATAGACAAATGCTTAGGGTAATATAGGTTAAAATCATGATACAAATTGTACAAGTGGGACATGATGCAGAAGAAAAAAAATTAAAAGGAAATATTTTAAAGTGCTAACTGGATGAGTTAGATTGGATGGGTTATGAATAATTTTGTATTTTCTAAACTTTAAAGAGATGATATTTTTATAGTGATTACTTTTAATTAAAAAAATGTGGAAATTACTTCTAGTCAAGATGACATACTGAGTTTTAATGTAACCCCTATGCTACAAACACATAGAACAAAAGATTAAATAGCACAAAAGATATATCCAAACTGCCAAACAACAATAAACATCTTTGTGGGCCAGAAATTGAACACAGACACAAAACTGTTAGCAGGGTTTAAACCACAAGCCCACTGCGTTTGTCTGGCACTGACATGTAGTCATTTGGCCCCTGTCAGGAATCAAAAGTGCTAAAAGTGCTTCATGTGAGGCAGAAACCAGAACTGCTACATGAAGCCAGGGGTTTGGCTGAAAAAAGGAAAAAGCTATTAACTACCTGCTTCTATAGGTTTTATCTGATAAAAACACAGACTCATGACCAGGAATTGATGAAGCCATTACTGAGTCAGTGATTGAATGTATATGGGTGATATCTCCAATATCATCATGAAACTGGAGGCCTTAATATTGTAAGGTCTAGTTGTAGATTAGGGGTCCAGAAATCCAAGTGGGGGCAACTATAAAACCATTAAATAGGAAGAGAAAGAAGGAAAAATAAATAAAAACCTCTCCTACTCAAAATGAGCTACAACCCAAATTGCAAAACTCATGAAGACATCTAATATGAATATCACTGAATATCAAAATCAGTGACTAAGACAGACATTTTCTCTGGATGAAATTAATTTTATGGAGTAGTCCAACAAAGACTTTATTTTAAAAAATAAATTATTTTATTTATTTTTTTTTGACTAGGTAATACATGCACGTGGTACAAAATTCAAAGGTACAAAAGGGTAAACAGTGAAAAGTAAGTCTATCTCCCACCTCTGTCCCCTAGCCACCCAGTTCCCCTCCCCAGAGGCAACCACTATTACCAATTTCTTGCTATCTTTTCTGAGATAGTTTGTGCATGTACAAGCATATACACACACACACATACATACACTTTTATATAAATGGTAGCATTCTACACATACTATAATGTACCTTGGCTTTTTCACTTCATAACATATTTCGAAATCATTCCATATTAGTATCCATGGGATGATATTATTCTTTTTAACGGCTGCATAGTATTCCATTGATTAGAGGAAACTTAAAAGCATTTTTAGGATGCTCAAAGAAATAAATGGTACTCTCCATTTAAAGAGAGCTCAAAAATTGCAAAAGAGATGAAACAACAGGTTAATGTGGAAATGAACCAACTAGAACTTTTTGTAGTTGGTATATAAAAACTCAGTAGATGGGATAAATTTACCCTTTACACCATTGATGACAGAATTAATGGGTTGGAAAATAGTACTAAAAAAATTCATCCAGAACACAGAAGAAAGATACAAATAATGAAAGAGTCGTTAAAAGACATAGAGGATTAATTGAGAGACTCCAACTTATATAAAAGAATTGCAAGAAAAGAAGATGCAGAGATTGGTGGAGAACTAATTTTTTAAGACAGAGGGATGCAGAGACAGAATTCTTAGCATTAAAGAAGGACCTGAGTCCTTCCATCAAGAGTAAACTCTAGAATGTCAAGTAGATTAAAGAAAGAAAAATCCACATCCAGACAGGTTGTGGTGAAATTAGAATATCAAAGATAAAGAGAAAATCTTAAAAGCCACCAAAGTTAGAAGCCAGGTGATCTACAGAGGAATGATAATTAAACTAACAGGTTTCTCATTAGCAACAGTTGATGCTAGGAGAAAATGGAATAGTATCTTAAATACTAAGGCAATACCATATCATATCCAGGTAAACTGTTATTTTAGAATGAAGAATTTTAATTAGATGAAATGATAAGTGTTATTAATTATTAATAGCAGAAAGATAATTAGTTTTTTTTAGGGGGTGCATTTACAAAATTTAAATTCTAGATTAGCACTATCCAATAAAATTGTAATTCTGGCCACAAATGTAATTTTAAATTTCCTAGTTATATTAAAAAAGAAAAAAGAGACATTTGAAATTAAATTTTAGTAATATATTTTATTTAATCCAGTATGTCTAAAATATTGTTTCAGCACATAATCAATATAAAATTTATTGAGATATTTTACTTATATTTTTTCATGCTAAATCCTCAAAATGTTGTGCATATATTACACTTAGAGTACAACTTCAGACTGGCCACACATCAAGGACTCAAACCACATTTGGCTAATGGCTATCAAGTTGGACAATGTAGTTTTAGAGAGTAACAAAAAATTGATTGTATGTATTGGGGAGTTTTATTCAGTGGGAGGGTATAGCATGATAAGGTCTCTGTCATGTTCAGGAGGAAGTAGAAATATAAAGTAATTTCAGACTCAGAACAATGTATAATTAAATATATACAGTAAAAACTAAACTAAAAGTAACTAAAATAATAGAAATACAGTTTATAGCTTCCAAACCAGCAAAAAAGGGGGAAAAGAAAATACTGAAAACCTGATCAGTTCATTAGAAGACAGGAAAGCTTTAAAAAGTTAAATAAATAAAAATAAAGCAAAGAAAAGGGATAATAAACAGAAAATAAGAAGTAGAAATAGTTCCAAATATATGTGTAGTTCACAGTAGGTATAAATGGATTGATCTTTATTAAAAGACACAGAAGCAGCAATTTGAATGAAGAAAAAATTATATACTTTATAGAGATACCAAAAATAAGACTGCCCAGAAATGGAAAAAGAAAACTGATGTAGGTTATCATTATTGGACAGATGGAAGACCAAAGCCTTTAATAAGGATAAAATGTAACAGTACATATTAAAAAAAGGAAAAGCCACCAGGAAGATATATATAATCATGAACTTGTATGCAACTTGAAATATACAAAGCAAAGATGGAATGATAAGGAATTACAAGTCTATAGTCATAGTGAGAGATTTTATTATAGTTTCATCCAAAACTAGTAAATCTAGCAAATAAAAATTAGGCTGTAGAAGATAAACTAGAAAAGTTGCAGAGAGAGAGAGAGAGAAAGAAACATCAATGTGAGAGAGAAACAGATTGGTTGCCTCCTGTATGTGCCTGACTGAGATCGAACCCTCAACCTAGGTATGTGTCCTGATCGGGAATTGAACCCACAACCTTTTGGTGTACAGGACGTCTCTCCAACCAACTGAGCCACCTAGCCAGGGCTAAATATATATATTTTTTAAATGTACAGTTGAGCTGATAAGGAAGGAATCCTAGGGCCAAAAATGAAGTGGAAGCAGGAATGCAAGGAAGTAAACAGGTATTCAAGCTGTCTTTTACCATGGCGGCATTGGTCAAATGCTGGTGACCTTGAGTTTCTGTTTTAACATGTATGAGGAGTACAGAGGACAGGCAAGTTAATTCTGCAGCCAGTTGAAGGTGAGAAGACCAGTAGACAGCTCTGCAGAAGGGTGCAAAGGGTTTATACTTTTAGCATAGAGGTGACCTAAAAATAAATCACCTTGTTCATCTAAACTGTGGCATTGGGTAGAGGGGTGTCAGAAATCTCTGTGAATTTCTAACTACAAGCCAGCCTTCATGCATGTGTGGGGCCTAAATTCACACTACCCATATGGTCCAAAAACAAATGCAGATCTTTGGAGGAGAAAACTCAGTATCATAAAGAAGTTGATTCTTCCCAAATTAGTTGATACATTAGTGCAGTTTTAATAAAAATATCAAATCTTTATAACTTGATTTTAAAATTCATATTGAACAGCAAAGTGCCAAGAATATCTGTTTTGAAGAATACTAAGATGGTAGGAGTATTCACCCCTCCAGATACCAAACATAGTCTTAGGACAGGGACAGATTAAGTGACCAATGGAATGGAATAGAACTTCCAGAAATTTGACATATGACAGCAGGGGTATTACAAATTAGTGTGGGGGTGGAAGGATAGAAAACAGAGAATTGGTTATAAATATAAAAAAATAAAATAAAATTAGATTTTAATCTCATCCATAACTAAAAGTAACTGCCAGTTAGATTAAAGACCTAATAATGAAAGCAAACCTTTAAAGCTTTAGAAGAGCTGTGGGCAGTGTGTTCAGTGGTTAGTGTGTTGGCCTATACAGCGAAGGGTCCTGGATTCCGTTCCTCTGCACATACCTGGGTTGCAGGTTCACAACCCCCTCCCCACCTGTTCGCTCCCTCCCCCGTCAGGAGGCAACCAGTAGCCATCAGTGGTCGATGTTTCTCACTCTCTCTCTTCCCCTCCCTCCCTTCCACTTTCTCTAAAAAGCAATGGAAAAAATATCCTCAGGTAAGGATTAAAAAAAACAAAAAAAGCTTTAGAAGAAATATAGAATATATTT